ATGTGCAGACGCGGGATCCGCTATCCATCATCTGGGCATCCGAGGGGGAACGGACGGCCGGTAGCACGATGGGTATGCACACTGATTGCACGCGAGCGCACCGAGCGTCCGGCAGTAGCGGAATGCACCCCATTGCAGCCCATGCTGATTGCACGCGCGAGTGCGAGCGCACCGAACGCCTCGCGGGGCTGCAAACCTCACCCCCAAATGCAGCGCAGACAGCCTAGCAAACAATAAGCTAGGAACGGAACGCACCTTGGGCTCCTCCAGGCACGCATCGACGCCCGGCTTGAGGTTGCGCAGGTCGCTGAACACGCCCTCCTCGAACTTCTTCATGTTGCGCACGGGCCGCCCGAACGCCTCGAAGCGGAACACGAGCGCGCGCACGATGTCCGTGCCCGTGATGTGGTACAGCCCGCCCCAGAGCACGCAGCTCACGTACTCCTGGTTCGGGAGCAGGAACCGGTTCAGCGCCGGGTGCGTGCTGTGCGGGTGCCCCGCCGGCGCGAGCTGCCCCATCGCCATCCCGCCGTTCATGCCCGCGTTCATGTTCATGCCCATGCCCATGGCGGCGCCCATGGTGTTGAGGGCCATGCCGAAGGGCGCCGGCGGGGGGACGGCGGTGGACGAGGACGGGTCCGAGTTCCAGCGCGACGGCGCGGTCGCGAGGAAGAACTTGAGCTTGTCGAGGTTGTTCAGCAGCTCGCGCTCCTGCAGCGTCAGCGGGCGGCTCAGCCCGCCGTGCGGCCCCGGCGCGTCCGTCAGCGCGTCCGCGATCGACTGCCCCTGCATCTCGGCGTCCACTCCAGCGTTGGGGTACTGCTGCTGCTGCGACTGCTGCTCGAGACGGGCCGGGTGCGCAGTCTGCTCGTCGGGCTCGTGCTCGTGCGGCGCCGGGGTCGCGGTCTGGATCTGCAGCGACGGGCTCGCGTGTTGGTGCTGGTACTGGGAGGACGAGGATGACGACGGGGGCGCCGGGTAGCGTTGGGAGGAGGAGGCGTAGCGGTGATCGTAAGCGTCGGCAGGGTAGGCGTGGGCAGCCGATCGTGAAGAAGACGAGGATGCGGAGGACGATGCGGAGGATGAGGGTGGGGGGAAGGCGTGCGCGTCGACCTGGATCGCGAACTGGCTGTATGCGGCCGGGTGCTGGGAAACTAGGCTGTCCATTATACGGGGAGTACTCTTCAGAAGGGCGGGTGCGAAAGTGGGGGCCTGCGGACGGGACTTGGGATACAGAGACGAGAGAGAGCGTGCAAGTGGGTGGTGTTGGTGCGCCAACGAAAGGCGGCCTATGTATAACTGCAAACCGGCGGGGGGAACAAGGATGGACGGGGACGCGTCGGGTGAGCACAGGACGATCGGGCGGGAGGAGAAACTGCGGAGATGGACGTACATTACTGTGTGTGCGTGGGGGTCCGCGGAGGACGGGTGAGACAGGTGCACGCGCGAGAGCTGGCTCAGGAGGGCGCAGCGAGAGTGACACGGACCTCGGCGGGACAAGCAGACAGCGCAGGGGCCAGGACCCAGGGGTGCGGCTGGAATACTATTATACGGGCACTCGAATGTGGATCGCACGGGCTCGGCGGGAGACAAGGGCGGTCGGAGGCGCAGTTGGATCCTGGGGTCGTCGGGCGAGGCCGATCGCGTCGTTTGTGGGCTTGGTGGGTGAGGGGCACGGACGAATTATCAAGCTGAGTAGTAGGGCAGGCAAGATAGGAGGACGTGTGATTTGGACAGGGATTAGAATTAGTAGGGCACACGCTCGACGGCGAGCGGGGCTCTGGGGGTGAGGTAGGGGAACGGGAGACGCGGCGGCGGGACGGAGGGAGAGGGAGGACGGGGCAGGGCGACGGCGGAGGGAGGGCGAGGTGATTAAGTAAATCTGGCAAGCCTCGATGCGGCGCTCGACCTTCCAGCTCAACATAGTCGCCCACCCGCGTCCACCACGCTCTCTCCCAGCGCTCCGACCTCGAAAGCGATATCCCAAGCGCCTCCAGCTTTTCGCCCGACTCCCCTTTCGCCGGACACGGAGCCCCACGGAACCTTTGCACATTCCACGCCCTCCCCAGGCCCTCGACACCGAGCGTGCGGGCCAGGCAACGCCCGGACCGACGTCAGAGATTCGGGGTCCGCTTGCGGGGGACGTCAGATGCTTTTGGCAGGCAGGCCGGCCGTCCTTCACACAACGGCTGCCCTGGCAGGTCACACAAGAAGCCCGGAGTCGAACAGGATGCGCCGTGAACCTACGCGAGCATGGCAGATCGCAAAGATCCCCGGTCCCAGGCGTAAGTGAAGCTCAGGCCCCGGCCGTCCTGCCCTCTAGATGTGCCCTGCCACCGCCCCATCATCATGGCGACTCGCCCTCTCATCATCAGCCCGCACACAGCCCGCCCGATTTGCCCTCGCACGCACGCGCCCATCACACCCACCTCCCATCTCCCGATCACCCTCGCCGTGCACACTTTCAGCTCGACGCAGGATTACCGCGCGCGTGCTTCTTCATTCCACCGGGCGACCTCCCTAGCTCGCGCTCGAGCCTGACTCTGCACGTCCCCTCCCAAGCCGCCCTTCCGCACCGGCCACCGCCCCAGTCAACGCCGAACGGTGAGTAACCACTCCCCACGCGAGCGAATAAGAAAGAACAAAGCCATCCTCGGGAGGCACCCGCCCGCACTCGCGGCTCGCCATACCCGACCCCGCGCAGCACAGCATCCTCGAGCCGGCGCGCATGCCCATGCCGATGTTTATTTGCGTTCTTCCCTCGTGCGCGTGCGGACCCGAGAGGGCCCAGGAGGGACGGGCTTGTGGCACCGGCGGCGACTATGCAGTTGTTGCGAGTAAGTTGTGGCTCCGGAGAGGACGCCGCTGGCACTACGAGACCGGGCTTATGCGGGCGCACGTCGGTTCGCTGAGGGCCCGGTCCGCAGGCTTTGGCTTTGGCTCGTCCAGCTCGAATTACGGATGTGCTAACGTCGTACCGTTCCAAGTTTAACACCGCCGCCATGTGCCCCCCGTGCGCTAACTCCGTTCTCACACCGCGCAGTCCATACACCGCAACATATATCGTCACGGAAGCGGCTACGTTCAACGTCTACGTCTCGCGCTGAGGAACCCTGGTTCTGGATGTACAACTATCCGTCTCTCCTGCGCGCCTCCCTCGACGACTGCTTTCTGACGCCCGCGTTTGCCTGCCAGCTGCTGCACACAGGCGACGTACCACCCTCTCACCTGGCCTCGCATGTCCGGAGGCTACACCTCAACGTCGCGCGTCCAAATTCGCTTCTGTACGGTGACCTAAACATAAGTACAGCTGTTCTACATGCTATCCTAGTGTCCGTATGCTGACTACTGTCAATCTGCTCCTACAGTCCTCTCTCGCCCCGTCTACGAGCGTCGCTCCCCGCAGACACCGCCCTGTTCACGCGCTGTAACGCACCGTCAGCGACGTCCACAGAGGACAAAATCGCGCACGTACCACGTGTCCGCGCACGCCCAGCTCGGCGCGCACGGAGACTACCTCGACGCTAACGCAGCCAGCACAACGCCCCCGCCTACAAACAACACGCTCAGCACGACGGCACGGCCAGCACGGACAAACTCACCTGGCCACGACCACGGCGAGCAGCTCGCAGCGAGTACAGAGGACAAGAAACCGAGCACAGGGCAAGCACGAGCGGACACCGACACCCCATCCCCACCCCACCCGCCCTCTTATACCGCCCCACTTCCGGGCAGGCTCTCGCTCCCGGCCGGACACACGCACGTACTACGTGCACCCTCCCCCACTTCGCCCCTCCCCTCCGCGCCCTCGCAACCCGTCCGCCCGCCCGCCCGCGTACGCGGAGATGAGCGCCCGCCACGCACGCTGTGCCTGTACCGTACAGGGTGTCAGGGCGCATCTCCGATCCGCGTCCGCAGGGTCGGCGCACCGTGTCTGCGCGGACTTTGTCGCCAGATCCGGCGCGGCGCGCGGCGCGCGGGGACGCGCGGGACGGCTGGCGAGGCGAGGCGAGGCGAGGGGCGCAGGTGGCTGCACCCCGGGGGAAGGTGCGAGAGGAGCGGACGTGTCTGGACGTGGCGGGGCACGTTCGACGACGCCCCCAGTGCCCACATATCGAGCGCGGGGCTGTTCGTGCTCTGACCCTTCCCGCCGCCGTCCTGCTGCAGCCGGCACGGTGGGGATGCGTCTCGTAGTCCGCTGTTTCCATGTACGCTCACAGAATAGATTCCGGCGGCGGCGCCGTCGACGTCCCCG